TCTTCCTCTTCATCACTATTAATATTAATCTAAAATAAATTTCTAAAATGTATAATAAAATAAAATTAACCAATTTCATTGAATATAAAAATGGCAGATTCCTTGAGTTGCATTGTAATATCAAAATTTGTCTGGTTTATTGATAACTCGCACATAATATTTAATGAATATTTATGTATATATATTTTTATATATATGTTTTAATATTTTTTATAAATAATTTTTTATTATAGTAGTTTTAATATTTTTTAATATATATATTTAAATTATATGCTCATATGAAATAAAATAAATTTTACATTCAAGTTATTTTTATTCATAATATAAATAGGATTTAAATAAAAGTATATCAAAATGTATCTTAAAAAGTATCTAAAAACAGATACAGATATTTTAATCAAAAGTATATCCAGATACAGATACCACATTTTTATATTTAGATATTGTATCTAGATACTTTAAAGCAATTTATTAAATATTCCGAATAATTCGTTTTATTCGAATCGAATATATTCATATTCATAATTATTCGGTTTGAATATTCGAGTTTTTTTGAATAGGCTTAGTTCCCACATATAATGTCTCGTAATGGATTTCATTGATGTAATACCCGGATGTCCCATTGCAATATATGTAAAACTCTTATTTGAAGTGAGTACGGAATGATTAATCTGCCATTCCAAAATAAAATACCGTCATCATTTTTGTATATTTACCATTTATTAATATTTTTACTCTTCTTAAAATTGGATCTTTTGCGGTTTCCTCTCAGTTCTTTTCTTGATAAAGTTAATATGTCATAAGTAAGATTTCTTATATATTACACTGTTTTATTTTCGCTTGTTATTCTATCATCATTTTTCTCTATTGGGTTTCGCGATAAAGCATCTGCAATTATATTATTAGCGCCATTCTTGTACATTATATCATAATCATATGCAGATAATTTATAAGCCCAATGTAATAATCTATGGTTTGTTAATGAGCTTAAATCTCTCTTATTACCATATATCTTTATTAAAGATTTGTGGTCTGTTCGTATTTTAAATTTTCGTCCATACAAATAGTTATGGAATTTTTCTACGCCGTTTATTATTGCTTTGGCTTCTCTGTCTATTGTAGAATAATTCTTTTCAGCGTCTTGTAAAGTTCTCGAGGTGTAAGCTATTGGAAATTCGTTACCATTATATTTTTGCATGAGCTCCAAATCCTTGGTTAGATGCATCTGTTTCTGATATTAACTCGAGGTCCGGTTTATAAAACTGTATAGTATTTTGTTCTGTTATTATTCCAAATAACGTGAAAAGGATTACAAAAATAGCACGGTTTAATTGGAATGGCAGATTATTCATTCCGTACTCACTTTAAAAAAAGAGTTTTATATATATTGCATACGAAACATCCGGATCTCACTTGAGGAAGAGGATATACTTCAAACGGATATCCTACTTTGGTGGAAACGAAAAGAAAAAGATTTGCCAAAGCTATCAAGATTAGCAAGAAAAATATTGGCAATTCCTGCAACTAGTGCTTCTTCTGAACGAGGATTTAGCATTGCTGGAAGGTTTTTAGAACAAAGAAAAACGTGTTTAAATCCAGAAAATGTCGATACATTATTATTTTTTCATTATAATTACATATAATATCAATTTTATATTTATATTTTTTTCATAAATATTCTATTTGATCAAATAAATTGTCCATAATTTAAATTGAATATTTTTTTTATGCTTAAATTAATTTCCTAAATTATAAACTTTTTGTAGTGTTGTAAACGAACGCGTTCATTTCGTTTTGAAAAAAATAATGAACGGCGTTCCTTTTATTTTTGACGAACTTTGAACGTGAACGCGTTCTTTTTTTATGACGAACGTGTTCGATAAAAATACTTTTTATTTTTATTTATTTGAAAAATTTAATATTTCCGAATTTTTTTTAAAAAAGTATTATTTATATTTTTTAATCCGCTGCGTATTTCCCTTTCACATTTTAATTTTTTTAACACAGTTTATTAATTTGAATATTATTGTTTATATTTTAATTTAATAGATTAGCATAAGCATGGATATTATTATTTAATCCTCATCATCTGATTCTGAAAATGAATTATCATTACCATGGCCAAATATGATAAATGTTTTACATTAACATCCTGTATTGAAGTAACTAATCCAATGCTTACAGTGTAAAATGTGGCCAAAAAGTATTATATTGTCAAAATCTTCGGGTTCCAATTGAAAACGACATTTGATTTTAATATTAATTATTTGATTTTATATGATATAACTAAGTTAAAACATTAAATTTGAAGAAATAATGCATTTGGGATATTTGACCCCAACAATAACGATAGTTATTTTAAAATTAAAAAAATTAGTTGCCTCAAATATGGTCAACCATTGACAGACGCCGTATTAAATGGGTTAATAAAAGGTATTAAGCCCATCACTCTCAATTAATTCATATATATTTTTTTTTAAGATTTGAACATATATATGAAGATCAATATGTTCTTTCTGCAATTATACATCCAGTGTTCAAGCTTCAATGCTCATGGATAAAACTTCCATAGAACGAACCTATTAAAAATAAACTTATAGCGTTATTGAAAAAATTGCTTTGAAAACCCTAGAAATGATAATGCAAGAACTGTTAATTTCGAGATATCCTTTTTTTTGTCGAGAAAATGGATTGGAGGAGGATAACTTATCTCAATTCTTTGGAGCAAATAACAAAACAATAAATGTTTTTAATAAATTTCCCACGTTAAAAGATTATTTAATAAGTATAATACCGCAATCACTTCATCTACCCTTGAGCGCGTTTTTGGTATAGCTAATGCCGTATTAACTGCCAAGCGTTCTTGTCTATCAGATGAAAATTTTGAAAAATAATGTTATTAAAAATTAATAAGAAAAATTTTTTATAAATAAAAATATCTTTTAATTTGATATGATATTTTGAATTTTATAATTATATTATCAAAATAAAATTATATTATTTTTTAACATGGCTAATATTGTGTTCATTTTTTTATATTAGAAAATTTTAAAAAAAATTTATCATAATTTTGAACCGTCCATGAACGTGAACGCGTTCCTTTTTTTTTGAAAGTGAACTAGAACCTGAACGCGTTTGATTTTTGTCAATGAACGTCTAAGGCGAACTCGTTCGATTATTTTAGAAATGTTTACAGCACTAACTTTTTGTAGAGGTGTAATGCTGAAAAAATTTAAAGAATGGCCATAATTAAATTTTATAAGCAGGCTTGGATTTTTTATAAATAATGGGCGGACGGGTAAAAAATTTTAGGCTAATGGGCGGGCGAGTAAGGAATTTTAGACAAATGGGCGGGGCGGGCGGGTATATATTTTTTTGAAAGCTATGGGCGGGGAGGGTTAAATTTTTTTTAAACTTTGGGTGGGCGGACTTTTGGTTCAAAAACCCGCCCAATGCAAACCTCTAGTCTACTACTTAAAAGAGCGTTATTGTTAATTGGAAATCTAAATAATTTAAAGAATTAATAATCATTTTGATTCAAAGCCACATCCCATTATATATAATAGTTCAGGAATAAAAATAATAGAAAAAAATGTCAGAGATATCATTATGTCTGTAAATTAAAAAATAGTAAAAAATAATATTAATTAAAAGTATAGAATTATATTTTTACTCATGATATTATATATTATACAATTGTTAAAGGTCTAAGAAAATTTCAGAACGTAATTATTGGTAATAACAAAAAATATAAGAATAAATGCTTACACATATGGAAATCCTTATTTTTATTGAACAAAAAAAACTTTTACATGAATTTTATTTATGTCAATTTATTTTATAAAATATATATTCATATTCTGTTGTAAATTAAACTTATTTTTGTTATATAAAAAAAATATATAATTCAAATTTTTTAAAAAATTTTTGTTACTTTATTTTCTTGTTATATATTATTATAAAAATTAGGGGTGTACCTATACCACTTTTTGAAGGCAGATTCGATCTGATATTTTCAATATTAAATTGATATCGGCCGATTACCGATCCGATATCATATCGTTTTGTAAAGAAATCAATGGTTTTAATTTTTAATATACTTTTTATTAGTATAACATCTATAATTTAACTCTACCATAACTAAATATATTATAATGATCAGGTATAGTTTATATTCAATTCAATTGCAATTCTAAAAGTATATAAAATTCACTATATAATAAGTAATACATTAATCTATATACATAATAAGTAATAAACAAATATATATGAAATTTGAAATAAATATTTAACATTAATATATCGAAGATTTCTTTTTAGAAATACCAAAATTTCAAATTTATCAGAGATCAGCCTGCGGTGATTATAATTGTCAATATCAGCAGCTTCACTAAAAATTGATTCTGAAGAGGAGATTATCGCACACTTTTATAAACAGAATGCACAAAAAAATAACAATATGGCAGAATGTTAATTAATTTATTATTAATAAAAAATATACATTAAAATGGATTTCGATTTTGTTTATAAAAGAAATGATTTTAGATATAACTTTTTTTATAACATTTTATTTTTGTTAAAGACGCCATTTTATATAGGATCGGATCGGAAAATTTTATAATATTGGCCTATAACCGATATTTTAAAATGGGTGGCCCGATTTGATCCTATGAAAAATATCGGTACAACCCTAATAAAAATTGTTTAATATATATTTAATTTTCATTAAAATATTAATTATTTTTATATTATATCTTTTTGATAAATGTTATATCTTGCAATTTATATGTGATTTAAATAAAACAAAAATCGTAAATACATGACATATTTAACGTTAAAATTATTATAATCACAGACTTATTAAAATAAAGGTAGCTATTTTGCAAATGGCTGCCAAATGAAAGACGTTTTTATAACATTATAGAATTAAACGTTAAGCAGTCTATAGCAATATAGGTCTATGGTATTTATAAATTTTCTTTAATGAAAACATTTTACAGGTTCTCTACAGTAAAAAGTTTGTTCAAAAAATAGCGGAATTATCTAAAGACGGCACTAAAAGGTTTACACTGAATTTAGTTTATTTTCATGTTTTTAACCTTTCATTAAAACTAAAGATGTTAATGATGTAAGTTGTAGAAATATTATATCTGAATCTAGATCGAGTCTATTATTTTTGCTGTTACACATGGTGGCCTGGTTATTTAAATGAAATAGTATGAAGTAACACGATCCTAATTTCCAATATTTTATCATAATAAAAGTAATTATATGAGAAATGAGAATATAAAAATCTATCAAAATCATTCGATATCTATACATATATTGAAAGAATAATATGATATTTTAAGTTATGCTATGAGAAAATAATATTTGTTTTAAAACTAAAATCTAAAATGAACTTAATTTATAAAGGTTAATAAAAAAAAAAATTAAGTTTAAAATAAGTTATTAAATTTTGGAAAGGAATATCTAACAGTTTTCTGAAGCTATCACAAATATTTGTTTGTTTATGCTTAAGGAGGATAAGAGGTCAACACATGACAAGGAATCCCACCATTTTTATGGAATTAGAACTCTTTGTTTATTTATCGCCTGCTAGTATCTACCAGGAAGCAGGGTTGTTGGAATGCTTCTGCTTTTAAACTTTTTTGAATGGTAATGTTACCTGACGTAGTCTGGGGGATTTAACTCTCGATAAATACATTTTATGCTATATCGCCTTTGAGTCATAGTGTTTAGAGCATTTAAGCCATTTTTGCATCAGTCATGCTAATGCACTTTCACTAAAGCCCTAAATCGACTCTTGATTTTGGGCTTTTTAACCAATGTTTTTGATTAGAATGGCATCTTGTACCGTGCCTATATCCTAGCAAAGAGTTTATTATATGCTCTGCAGATTGAAGGCATGAACTTATATAATCTACATGCCTTAGGATTATATAATCTACATGCCTTAGGATTAACTCGAAATCACACTCTTGTTGTTAGGGATTTACGAACCTTTTCCATATTTATCTGGTTACCAAGGAGAAAATTAAAAAATGGAGAGACTGAAGGTTACCCTGTCGTGGTATTTTTTTAAAAAAGGGCTAAGACACAGGACCCGAGTTTAAAGGACTATAGTATTTTCATGATTCAACGTCACAACTATTTAATAATACTGTGATGATAAGTTATAATATTCATATGCATGAATAAAAATCATATGAAAATTTTATTTTAGAATATTCCCATAAGAAGTTTTGAGAATGTATATGCAAAATTTTGGTTTTGAGTTGGCAAAACTGTTTATATTTTAATTAAACCGAGTGTTAAAAAATTAAATTTGGGTCATTATATCATATATTTCCAGGTATGTAGTCAAGTAGTCAACGCATATTAAAAAGTTATAGCATGTCCCCGCTATATTTCCAAAAAGGTAGGGGCACGGAAAGCTTCTTACAAAAATTTGAATTTTTTTATAATGGTATATTATTCTTTTTTTTATCATGAAATATTTTATAAACATAAAGGTAGTAATTAATGTAATTGTACATTTTCAATTCAAAAATTAACCCTTCCCTAATATAATTAGTTCTTAAAAAATAATATCCAATAGAAATAGTGTTTATTGTATCCGTTGTTACTAGCCGAGCAGCAATTTACAAGACAGACATAAATTACGATGTCTGCATAAAAATATTTTTGGGTGGACACAAAGCTGCTTAAAAAGGCTATGAAGCCGAACAAAAAAATACTGGCAGTTAAAAGTGGTTTATCACATTGATACCAAGATAATATTTAATACTGCATATTATCTTGCAAAAGAAAATCGCCCAGTTGTAGATTTTGAATATTTTTACAAGAGCACAATGGTTTGGATACGGAACATATTTTGCATTCTAGGCATTCTGCTTTATTAATAATTTAAAACATTTCAAAAGAAATGCTGATGAAAGTTGTAAATAATATTATCAATATACAATCCAAAATCAATATCCTGGTAGATGAATCTACAACACTGTCAAATTAACCAGCCATGGTTATTTATGTAAAATCGGTATTGGGGCCCTCTTTTGATGAACCTATTTTTTATATTTCTAGACCTAATTATCTGCAATCAAAAGATGCAGAGGAAATAGTTCATACCCTACTGGATCTTCTTAAATCCGTTGGGTTTTCTTAAAATTAATGACGCAATATATCGTTTATATAGTCATTCTGACAAAAATAAAAAAAAGCGTTGTATCAAATAGCCTCAAAACCTCATTATGCACAGGGTTGGGCTGTATCGCGGATATTTGTCTCTAAGATTTTTAGAATTTTGGAAAGTATCTAGTATCTAAGTTACATATTATTTAAAAGTATTTGTATCTTAACCAACTTTGTATTCAAAAAGATACAGATACTTAAAAAAAATTATATTGGTTAATTTAAATAGTATTAAAATTTAAAATGATATTGTTTTAAGATTTAAATGAAAAATTTAATTAAAATTTAGATATTTTAAGATAATTTTTGATATATGACGTTGGTCATCATATAGCAATTTGCTAACAAATAGAACTACCATATTTGAATCGTTTTATATCTGTCTATTTTAAAATTATGGAAGAAGAAAATAGAATAATTTGTTTATCTTCGTCTTCAGATGATTCTTCAACCGAAAATTATAACAATAAATTTAAACTAAGCATACTTAATGGCAAATTTTTTGAAGTACTTCAAGATGATCATAATAAAGAAATTCATCGTGACTTTGGTATTGACGAAAAAGTTATAGCAACTGTTACAGATAACGGCTCTAACTTTAAGAAAGCTTTCAAGGAGTTTGGATATTCTATGGAAGCTGTAGAGAATGACTTTGACATCAATGATGATGAATGTATAGAATTCGAAATCATTGAAAGTATTATTTAATACTTCTTTAAAATTTATTATGATATTGTAAATTTAGTAAAAAATTTTATTCAAATAAAATTATTTATTTGTTTATTTAAGGGTCTAAAGAAGCCTCAATAACATTGCCTCAACACATTCGTTGTTTGTGCCATACGATAAGTCTAATTGCCACAACAGATGTCGAGAGAGCTATTAAGGATTCTTCTAACATTTCTAAAATTCATCATCCTGCAATAGCTAAATGTACTAAGCTATGGAATGCAAATAATAGGCCCAAAACTGCAGAACTTATCAAAGCAGTTTTAGGAAAACAATTAGTTACACCTTGTTGCACTAGATGGAATAGTTTGTATGATAGTCTTTTTAGAGGCGTACTTCCTAAATTATGTCAAAAATTAGAATTTCCTAAATTAAGAGATATTGAAATTCAATATTTAGAAGAATATTGCAATATAATGGCCCCATTGACTATAGCGATTGACAAAATACAGAGTGAAATCAACTGCCATTTTGGAGAATCAGCTCCAATTTTAAATATTAAAAAAAATTACAAATTTAATTCAAACCAATCTACAATTTTGCAAACCATTAGCTTTTGCCATAGAAAATTATTTAAATAAAAGATTTAAAAATATATATGATTTTGATAACAATTTTAAAAGTGCATTTTTGGCAACTATTTCTCATCCCTATTTTAAAAATCGTTGGATTAATGGTGAAAAAGAAAAAAAATACCTTCAGGATTTGTTATTACATGAAGTTTTAATTGTTTTTAAAAATAATATTGAAATTAATACTTCAACAAAATCTTCAATTGATGAAGATGATGATTACTTTTGCCTTAAAAGTACCACATCCAATTCTAATAATTCAATAAATGATATTGAAATAGAGGTCCTAAATTATATGAAAGATGACAGGCGGAGTATAAATATGTTAAATAGTTATAAATATATAAAAGAAATATTTATTAAATATAACACAATATTACCCTCCTCAGCCCCCGTTGAAAGGTTATTTAGCTTTGCTAATATGGTTAATAGACCAAATCTTTAAAGATTGAACGAACTTTCTTTCTTTCATAATTTTAAAAAATAATGCTGATTTATTATTATTTACTAATTATATAATTATTAAATGGAATATCGCATTATCTTTTATAATAAATTTGTTATTTTCTACAATTTATTTTAAATATTTTTTTATAAATTTATATTATAGATAAGAAAATAAAGCTTTATACATTTTGATTTTGACTATTTAAAGTTTTTTAAAAAAGTATCTTGTATCTTAGATCATTTTTTTTAAAAAAATACAAGTATCTTGTATCTTATTAAAATTTTTCTAAAGTATCTTGTATCTTAAATACAAAATTTATTTAAAGTATCTGTATCTGTATCCGAATACAATTTTCTAAAAATTTGCCCAACCCTGATTATGCAACATATATATTTTAGTTTTTTTATAACTTTCTAAGCTATTTTATATAATATAGATATCATGTATTTTATATGAAATACTTCAATATAAACAATTCAAAAAAATAGATAAATAATATTCAAAAAAAAAATTTGCCTCAAATTCTTAGAAAAATTAAAATCAGCTCTGCCCGTTTTCGCGTGCCCCCTACTATTTTTGTAGAATAAAAGCATACCATAACCCCACCCCCTTCCCTATTTTAGAACTGCAGCACTGTATATGTCGTATTGGGATATAGACATGGTGATTCTGAATTTCTCAATTTTAAAGCAGATTTTTTAATCTGATGTGACCGAGTATTTAATCATGTGTGGAGTACCCATACTCTGTATTTTCGACTGTTTTTATATAGATTTTTCATATAAATGGAAAAAAAATGAAGTTTATGGTTGAAATTCAATGCTGAAATCAGTCTAATCATAAATTTTAAAACCTCCATCAGTGAATGATTTAAAATCGAGGGATATTACATGTCCATAAATCCCATATCACAATACTATCTATATATTTTTGTAGATTTAACACCTCCCAGTCAAAGTTATATCAATTTTTACCCTTTTTTGAATTTTATTAGATTATAATATTAAATTTATCTTACTCATATTGTTTATATGCATCCATATAAATCAAGCTCCAAAATAAACACATCCGCTCGCAATATGATGAATTTCATTAATCTGACTAACCAGGTATTTATCTTTACATTATTTACGCATTTATAATTATTTCGATAATTCGATTCAAGTCCTATCGGCGCTGTTTTTGTAAGCTGTCTGAATGAAAATAATGTCCGAAATCACCTGATTTTTAGTAAAATCAGCCTATAAATTGTTTTGAAAACACTAGGAAAACAAAATATTACAATTTGTAGTTTAAGATTGCGTATTTTTTATGAAAAATGGAGTACTTTTTTAAAATATTTTACCCTATCTGAGAATTAAAATTTTAAAATTAGATCCTAGCCAAGAACAATTATAACCCACTCAAGTCTGACTTCGGGCATGGAAGGTAGACTCGGACAGATTCGTATAGGGCTCGTATATTGTATTGCTTAGAATTATGGCAATATAAATTTTTCTTCACTTTTTGATAATTTTTTAAATCTTCCATGTTATATATATTAATATATAAACGAATATACCTAGTCTGTGGGAGACGCTCTGTCCGATCTTTTGTTAGTCGAGGCCATTTTACTGAAATATGGATGGAACATAACCCACTGGAATTCTATGTACCAGGACTTACCCAACAGATTGATGAAAATCAAGGTTTGAAAACTAATTGGCTGTAATGGAACAGCTTTTGTAAAATTTCAATTGAGTTTATATGGATAGAGCCCCTTTATACCATTACTAAAAATATTATGATTAACGCCCATCCTCATAAATTTGCCGTCTTTCTCTTCACCCCTCTATGGTTTTACTCAAAAAAGTTAGCTTTTAGAACTCCAGTAACGTTTAATTTTTTTAGCTAATTGACTCGCCAACACTAATGAAAGAGAGGTAATATAATAAATGTATTAGTTGGAATAGAAGTGTACCGATACAACTTTTTGGAGGTCGACCCGACAATGCCGATATTATATTGATTTCGCTGAATACCGATCCGAAATCTGAATTTGTTCGTTATACTTATATTTTAATTTTTCAATGCACTGCTTTTTTTAAATATACCACCATCTATGACTGCCTTAATCATAACAAACCATTTAAAATATACTACTAGCAAATTTATCTTTTATTTTAGGCCTATTTTTCAGTATATTTATGAATCTCAACATATTCAGTAATCATTTTATTTATATACTAAAACCGTTTTAATCTTTTTTTTGTTCCAAAAGTCTTTCTATCACGTAGAAAGTAGTATCCCATCTAGTTTATTCATGATCATGTAAATTGTAAAAAAATTAAATTATTAAGTTTTTTAATAATAAATATCCTTATTAAAACAAATTATCTATTTTATAATTTTTTTAGCCTATTTTTAATTAAGTTATTTATTAAATTAACACTTCAATTTTATGAGAATGTTCTTATTTATTAAATATATTTTCCTTAATATTAAAAAATTAAATATCAAAGTGCTTTAAAAATTTTAAATTATGACGCCATTTTTTAGGATCGAAAATTTAACATATCGGCCGATAATATGTAAAAAATAGGAATAATCGGTTCTATCCGATAAAAAAAATAGGTTGCATTCCTAATTTGGAAGCTATAATTTTTTCTTTTTTATAAAACTAAATTAGATCAACGATAGAACCTTGGTTAAAACTTCTCCCGACGAAACAATATGTTTATCTCCACCTGCCCTACAAGAAGCTATTGATTCTTTGGTATCGCGATACCCCAAAGGCCGGGCTTTTTTAAGGTTAATACACGATTAGATTATTTTCAGAATTTAATATAAAGTAAATTCCGCTTCTGAGAGGGTATAATCTATATGATATGACCCAGAAATTTACTCATTTACAAAAATAGTCCTTTTACAGTAGGACCTCTCGTCGGAATAGGCGAATCTTCCTGCACCAAGTAAGACGGGCGTAGATGGACCAGGCCTAATTTTAAAAGTTTGATTTTCAGACCAGGCCAGACTTGAACTAAAGCTATCAAATTTAAAATATCTTTTGCCGTCACTTCTTAAAAATATAATGAAGAATATTCAATAATATTTTTGTTTTCAATAAGACATTTATTTATTTTATATTAAAATACAATTTATTCTTATGAATTCTAGATTAAATATTTTGTATGTATATGGTGATTTCCATATCAAATCAACTAAGGTTTCAACCCGATCCCTACAGAATTTTTTTTAGTAATAGAAATATAAGTCGCAGATAATTCTTTTTCTTTATTTCATATCAAAATAATTGTTCTTTTTCTATTATTCAAATTCATATGCTAATATAATAATGAAAATAAACATTTTATAACAAAAATAACAATTCAATACATATCATTTATCCCCAATCTATTTGGTTTCGTTCGTACTCTTGTATCTTCTCCCTCCCTCTTTAGATTCATTTCATCATTGTTTATTACATCCTCTTTTTTTTACTATCTCTTCGCTTCTCTCTTCTAATTCGTATTCTTCAGTTAATATATTTTCGGTTATTTTCCTTAATTGATCAGTATGACATAAAATTTTTTTACACTCTATACTTACTTCATATCGTAGTGATCCGAATATGCTTTTATTAATGGCCTTTTCCCATTTTTTTTCTTCATTAATGTAAATGCGCGACCACACTTTTCCATTTACTTCTCCTTTTTGTTCCCCCGTTCTAATATTTGGTCTAACAATCATCTAGGTTTAATTTTTAGTAGTATTTCAGCGGGACTTTGTTTAGTTTCTGCCCCTTGTGTTTTCTGTAATTGTAAAGAAAAATAGCTAGACTGGTTTCTAAATCCCCCTCGTTTCTTTTATTCATGCTCTGCTTAAAAGTTTGAACTAATCGTTCAGCTATGCCGTTTGTCTGAGGATGGTAAGGACTTTCGTGCGCTAATTGTATTCCGTTTTTTCGCAGAAATCATGGAATTCTTTGTTGCTGAATTGTGGTCCGTTATCAGAAACGATTATCTTAGGAAATCCGAATCTGGCCAAAAATATTTCTTAATATTTTAATCGTGCTTTCGGTTGTAGTACTAGTCATGGGAACTATTTCTGGCCAGCTACTACTATCATCTATCACTACCAAACAATAATGATTTGGAAATGGTCTAGCATAATCAATATGTACTTGGTGCCATGCTTTTGGTGATTTTGGCCAATTTTGAATTGATGTCTTTTGAGGCATATCGTGTTGTTCCTGCATTCTCTACATTTTTCGACCCATGTTTCTATATCTTGGTTTATATTAGGCCACCACGCGTATTGTCTTGCTCTCATCTTCATTTTTACCATTCCAATATGTCCTATGTATCATATCTAACACGTTGTTTCTGTATTGTTGTGGTATTATCATTTTAGTTCTCCACAATAAACAGTGGCGTATCCAGGATTTTCTTATGGGGGGGGGGGGGGGGAATATTTTTGGGGGCTTCGCCACAAAACCCTTCTTACATGGCCTTCGGCCAGCTTTTCCCCGGCCTTCGGGTCGGGTCTTATGTTTTAGCTATTCTATTAAATTAGTCATAATTTAATAATAATTATATTTCTATTTTTAACTATTTTTACTAATTCGTGCTTATGGATATTACAAGCCTATTTTTTATTATTTTAAGTTAGGTTTATTATATTTAATAAAGTTTTTTTAAATGTAAAGTTGAAATAAAGATTAATGTCATTTTTTTATAAAATTTGCTTAAAAACTAGCCTCAGCTTAAATTCTCATACAATATAAGTAGAATATAATTTTTTTATTGAAAATACTAATTTTAGTGTGTATAAAATATTGACTAGAAAATAATTTAAAAAACAAGTTTTTTTTAACTTCTTATCAAATACAATATTATACAAAAAAATTTATTAAATACTATACTTATAATGTGATTTTTAATTTTCGTGGGAATGTTGCCAATTCATCAAGAATTTCTATTGTCGTTGGAACCTGTGAATATTTAACAGAGCTAACACATTTAGCCGAGATTCAGAAGTAGTATTTCGTAAATATGTTTTCAACCTTCTCAAGTTGGAAAAAGTCCTTTCATTCGTACATGTTGTAATAGGCAAACATGCAAGAATATAAAACAACTTCAAAATATTAGGAAATTGAGCCAAGGTTTATTTACACCGATTGAGCGCATCAATAGCATGCTCAGGTAAAATAGCTAAACGTAGTAAATATTTATACCACAATTCGAATTCAATGATTAAATTTATTTCAGTATCAATATCATAGGAATAAAATTTTGCTAAATATTTAATTTTACCAATAGTGGCATTTGAAAACGAAGAAGGATCTTTGGGTAATAAAACTTGAAGATTGCTAGAGACTTGTTTTTTAAAAAATGGTACTTTTATTTGCGATAAAGAGGTATCTGAGAATGGGATGATAATAGATATTTTATAATATTCTTCAGTTGAGCTAATATTTATTATACATCTCTAATTGCCTAGGTGCTAGACGAGGTTTAATTAGTGTTATTAAAATTTAGCCTTTGATTTAAAGTCTAGATAAATAATATGAAAATATTATCTATATTCATTCTTATTGTATCTACCTGTTCATATATATTTTCCGCCAAATCAATAACCTGAACAATTTGGTTTTTGTAAATTCTACAAAGTAAGCTAGAGGAAAATAATTTATTGATGCAACTAGCAGCAATGATAAACTCTGTTTGATCAAATGAATTCAATAATGATATCGCTTCTGACGACACATTACTTTTTTTCATGCTCAGCGTTATTTAACTCTTGTATTTCAATTTCTTCTGTTCTACAAAATGGGAGTAAAAATGAAAAATATTTAAAAAATTATAGATATTTATTATTAATTAAGTATATTATTAAATATACTTATTAATTCTAACTCACTAATAATTTTGAATTTAATAAAATAATTATATATAATAATAAAATAAATTACCGTTTGATTTCAATCTCTTTGACTAAAAATTTTCCCATTTTATTAATATTTTTGAATAATGTTAATGTACTCACAAGGAAAGGAAATTTCAATAAAATTTATTTATAAAAAATAAGTTTTATGTTAAATTAATATTCAAATATTTCTAAAATTTTGATTGGGGGGATTGGTTACGCGCCTGACAATAAACAACCTCTCTCTGTTGTAATTTCCTCTCTCCTTTGGCTATACTACTTTAAACATGAATCATAGTTTATTGGCCATCCGTCTATTGTATATCTGTATACTTTATAGAGTATATCATCTCGCATTGTTCTCATTCAATTCGCTTGCATTTAAAGGTGTTTCTCCCACCTGTATTTGATTTAGCGTTTCTTCTTTTGATATTGGAGTTCTCTTTATAGGTAATCTAGATAGCATGTCGGCATTTGCTATTTGTCGACTACTTTTGACTTCTATTTCATATTGGTAACCTACTAATAATAAAGCCTATCTTTGTATTCTGGCAGTAGATGTTGTTGGTATATCTTTTCTTGGATGAAATAAACTCATTAATGGCTTGTGGTCTGTGTGTAATGTGAACCTTTTACCATATAATTCTTTGATGAATTTTGTAACCCCAAATATGATGGCAAGAGCTTCTTTTTCTATTTGGCTATAATTTTTCTCGGCTGCAGTGTTCTTGAGGCGAATGCAATTGGACTCTCCTTACTCCCTTCTATATGTGATATTACTCCCAAATTCCTATGGCTGATACATCTTTTGCTTATACAATGGGTAATTTTGGATCATAACGTTGTAATATTGGAATACTACTTGCTTTAATTTTTTATACGCGTCTTTGCATTCATTAGTCCATCTCCAAACAACTGTTTTTTCTAATAATATGTATAATGGTTTGGCTTTGGCTGCAAAATTTGAAGTAAATTTTGAATAGTATATTGCTGACTCTAGAAATGACTGTAATTGTTTTAAGTTTGTTTCTAGTGTTTTTTTTACTGTCTCAGTATTTTTTTCCCTAGTTTAATCCTGTTTTTTTATTGTGTTCTAAGTACTCGACATTTTGTTTAAAAAATTTACATTTTTGTATCTTTAGCTTGATACCGTTTTTGTGTAGACATTTTAAAACCGTTTATAAATTTGTTTTTTTCCGGTTATTATATCATCTAAATAACAAGCAAAAGCTTTTAATAAATTTCGATGGCCTATTGAAATATTGTTGGAGAAGACGATATACCAAAAGGTAGTCTTGTATATTTTAAATAATCCTCTATTACAAGATATTTTTGAGACTCTTCCCCCACTTTAATTTGAAAATAGGCATCTGAGAAATCCAAGATTGAAAATTCCTCTCCTTTTCCCTAACTGGCTAATAAATCTTGGATTTTTGGCATTGGGTATGAATCAATATTAATATTTTGATATATAGTTCTTTTAAAATCCCCGCAAATTCGTAATGTTTTATCTTTCTTTTGAACAATTACTATGGGCAATTCATAAAGTTAATGATTAATTTTTCTATTATCCCTATTTTTAGTAATCTGTTTAAATCTTCTTCAACTTTATCTTTTAATGCATATGGTACTGAACATGATTTACAGAAAATTGGTTTCTCGTTCTTCATATATATTTGTGTCTTAAAATCTTTCAAGAGCCCAATTCTTTGGTAAATAATTGAGGAAATTCATTTTATATATTAATGTTATATATTTGTGCGATCCTTTCAGGTATTTCAGTCATTTTGGGAAATTTAGTTATCCAGTTTCTTCCAATTAGATATTTTGTATATCCTTTTGTAATTATGAGAGGTAGTTCTAATGTTCGTCCTTTATATTGTACTTTTACTACAGTCTGACCTAATAGTGGTATTGGTTCCTGTATAGCTTTTAAGTTTTAGCATGCAATTTGTTAATCCAGGAATTAAGTTTATTTTTCCAATCTATTTCGTTAACTATGCTTACCCCAGCTCCAGTATCTAATTTCATTCTGATATCGCTGTTGTTTATTTTAACATTTACCCAAAATTCAAGATTATATTCGCTTGTTTTATTATTAATAAAATTCACTATTTCTTTTCTACAGACTCGAGCAATGTGCCCAATTTTGGCTCGTATTATAATTATTATATGACTTGGATTGTTTTTCTTTATCATTATTAACTTTTTGAATTTTATTTATATTATTTTGTATTTTTTACAATTTCTACTGCAGTAGCTATTTGAAGAGCTTTATTTATGTCTATATTATCTTCGGATAATAATCTTTTTAAAATTTAGGATTTTTTATTCGGAATATAAATTTATCTCTTAATGTAGTATTTAAATTAGAGATCTGCAAATTTAGGTCCAACCCGAGTCCGACCATGCCCGAACGGGTTTCGGGCCAGGCTCGGGCCTAATTATATTTAAAATAATCGGGTTCGGACCGGGCCGGGCTTAACATTTTAAAAAAAAATTCGTGCTGAGTCGGGTCGGACCTTGGAAATTTTTTTAAATATATCTAAATTTATCAATTTTATATTTAATTTTTTATATAAAATAATAATATTTGATTTTATTTATTGAAACTAAACGACATATAACATATGTCTTTTATTTTGAGTAATTATAAAAATTAATTTCTATATTTAAATAAATTCGGGCCAGGACGGGTCGGTAAATTTTTTTTAAACAGGCCGGGCTTGGAAGATTAGGCCCGATGCAGATCACTAATTTAAATATTCCCCAAATTCACTGCTAATTTTCAAAGATTTTGTATAAAGTCTATTAATTTTTCCTCATTTTTTTTGATTATATTGATAAAAATTATATCTTTCTAGAGTTATATTAGGAGTAGGATGAAAAAATTTGATTAAAATGTTATGTATTTTATTTCTAATACCTCTTTATTTCCTGGACTATCTGATGCATATAAATTCACCAATATTTTATAAGTATCACATTCTATTGATTTAATAACATTTGTATGTTTTTAAATAAGTCGTACCAATCTTTGTAACACAGGTTTGAATCCGTTAAACTTTTTATCGACTGCGCCATTCTTGTAGTGTATTGTTAGTAGTAATAAAAATATAAGTCAATTAATAATTCTTGCAATTGTTATTAGTAATAGAAATATAAGTCATTAATAATTCTTGCAATTCTTTTTCTTTTATTTCATATCAAAATTTTGAATAAATAATGAAAATAAACATTTTACAAAAAATAACAATTCAATACATATCAACCACACTGTACGTTAGGTATTTTTTTTGATAGCCACGCTTTTTCATTCATTAATTTTAGTGATACAATTATACGAACTGGATATCATAAAAGAATTAAACTCGGGTAGTATAATCACTAAGTGTTGCCACCACTCAAATTATATCTAATTGAATTTTTTTTTTAATTTAAAAATATTTTAAATTATATATATCGGTAAAAATAAAAATAAATCTTTTAGACCTTCTGGAACAGAAGACGTTGTTAGGATATACGCTGAAGCGGAATCGCAAGTATGTTTTTTTATTTATAACTAGTGATGCAAAATCACTGCACTTGAGTCTATTTTAAAACAACTTACTTAGAGCTAAAAAATTAATTAGACGGTCAATATAAGTTAAAAAATAATTTGATATAAAAATATAAAGTTAGGTCCATGGGCATAACTAAAAATTTACCTGTTCTCATAAATATCATTTTAATCTAATAAAAATTTCCCCCCTACGCACTTCCTCTACCTAATATAAACAATAATTTGGGGAAAAATAAGTAAAATTTAATTTTTTCTAAAATAATTTCTATAATTCAAAATTTTCAAAAAATAAGGCATTTTTAGAAAGTAACATAGCCAAAAGCCTACTATAAGTTGACCTAATGATCTCCAATAACATTTATGGGGAAAATCCTACTTAGTAGGTCTTCTCCCATCTAAGCAAAATTCTGGTGAGACTAATCACGATTCAAGTTAATTGAAAAGATTAATGAATTAAAATATAAATCTAATTTTAAAAAATTTAATTAAATTTATTAAAACCTAACTTCCTCTTGTATAATGAAGGAGAACGAAAATTAACACATTTATCTAATTAAAATCAATATAAATTAGATCTACATGAGTTCCGATATTTTGATAATTTCAAATCTTATGACTCTTTCCTAAACCGTTGAAAAAGCTAAGAAAATGGCAGATAAAATTTGTATTAGCAACCCAGAAGCAGAAAGAATTTAGCTTGATGGATGAAATAGTTATGAAAGATATAAATTCGCTAACTATAAAATATATCGCAGATTTAATGACGATATAATTAATAGATAAACTTTTATCAGATCGGAATGCCTCGCCTTTTGTAATATCTTGTCCAAATCATGGTAGTGTCGCCACAGACAAATAAATAATTTGTATATTAAAAAATGAAACTATAAAAGGGCAAATTTACGGAAAAAAATTTTGAGCGATAAAGAAAAAAAAAATTTGAGGAACATTTTAGCGAGCTGATTCCTAAAAATTTGGCAGCACTACATTGAATATATTTGTTTTATTGTAATCATTTGCCCATCCATCCTTTGGCCTATCCAAAATTTTCCTAAGGGGAGGGGGGTTTATAGACTTTTGGCCAGATTACATTTTTTTAAGAAATAATTTTGGTTTTTGAGGCATTTTTTTAATTAAATAAATTTCCCTAAAAAATATTTCCATTCCATGGTAATTATTTTAAGAAGCTATTAATTTATTCTAGAGACCCTGCGTCGAATCTAACTTTTCAGTTATAAAAGGAATTTTTTTTAGGAAAACAATAATTTAACATTTTCATAAGGTCCGAATTCGGGCCGATTAAAAAAATTTTTTAAAAAGGTTTGATCTAATGTTGATTTGATTTTTAAAAATGGCTAACCCACTATTTTATTCAGAAATTACGCAAGCCTGGATATTTTACTCATAGGTGACACAACGATTTGGACATCCACTAACGAAATCTCGAGGCTTGTGTAATATTATTTTGGCTAAAATTATTTAAAATGACAAAATCGAGTTGTCCAATTGCTACAACCTAGGATCAGTCCATATATTGCTCTAATTTATACTTATTATTTCATAAATTGTTTATAATTAGGGAAGGCAATTTAGAGATCTCCCCTCTTTACTTACGCCAATGAATTGCATATAATTTATTATATGATATAACTGGTATAAACCTTTTCATTAATTTACAGGAAAAGGCAGATGATTTAGCTCACAGTATTTCCGTGCTTGCTTTTGATATGGCTGCTGGGGTAGGAGACAGACCCTTAAGACCCTCTAAATAGCATGATGTTTTTTGCAAAACTCATAATATTTTTCTTATATTGTTCTGTTTTATTGTTAAATAATATTTATATTATTTCATCAATGCAATTTACCAGGGTTAGTTACACATTGATGATGGGTATATTGTTTTATAAAACCTATTTTGTTAGATAATATTTAGCTATTAATTATAGGCTCATAATGCTATATCTAATCGGAACTATATTTTACAATTTTCCTGAAAATATTATGGTGATTTATAGGCTAAAAATTGCAGATATAAATTTATAAAATAATCATTGTTAATATTACTGGTTAGATTTTTCTTATATTAACATTTTTGATTTATTTTTCATACCAATTAGTGACCAAATTCCCTCCCTTTATTGCTCATTTTAAGATAGGTCCTCTAATATGTATTTTCAGAAATTTTATAACCCTTTTTTGGGTAAACATTGCATTCAGTTTACGATTTTATTACCATTATGTTTGGTACAAACTTGAAGGACAACATTAACATTCATTTAATATTGAATCCAAATCATAAATTTTTCGTCAATATAATGTAGCCATGTTATTTATAATAAAATCAATTATTATTTTTTGTCATCTATTTATTAAATAACATTTTTATATAAGTAAAATAATTTGATTGTGATTTTATTATTTTACCTTATTCTTACACTATGATAAGATGCGTTAAATAATATTATATTTAAAGAAATGCATATTTTTATTTATTTAATATCCATATATAGGATTGGTTCTTATCAATGAGAAATTTAATTTATAATATCTAATAATGCTTTTTTAAAGATAATTAGTAATTTTCATATAAAATAAAAATGTATAAATATATTTTATTTTATTTTTAATTAAAAATACAGTGTAAAAATCAATGATTTTATATTCTAAAAGATAAATAGTATATAAAAAAATCAGGATATGAGATTATCATCTTTAAACAATTAACATATATTAGATAAGGATTAAAAAATAATTATTTTTTTACATAAAATTTAATAATTGCTATAAAAATATAAATTAAAAAAGATACTTGAGTATAAACTAAAGTAAGATAATTATTATTGAGCAAGTCAAATGCAGATTATGATTGATTTTTTAGTAAGAGCCAAAAATCTTGAAAATGGATAAGATCGCACCAACTATGATAAAAAGCAGACTAACTTTTTCCTTGCTCCCAGAAAGCTTTAAATGAAAAGAGTGAAATTGATTGAGCAAATAAATAAATATACATTTTTAAACTCAAAATATTAATAAAAACAATTTATAGCTTAAAAAGGGGAGTATATAATTCAAATTTTTACATTTTTGTTATAAAATTTATTAAATAAAATCTATTATTAAACCAAGAAATATAAAAAATAAGATTATTCATTACAATCTGTACACTTCTCAATATTACAATAATGAAAACTTACCACTACATAATAATTACATAGTTCTCCTATACAGCAGTCAACACATTCCCAGTCATTAAATTTTTGATATGTACATTTTTTAACAGCCTGATGTCTTTCAGGATCATATCCACCATAATGAATCATATTTAAGTTTTGGCAATTGTCAATTGTATCACATTGTTTACTTATGTAATATTGATATTTAGGTAATGCAGACCAATATGGGACCACTATTATATATTTAATAATTATTATTTTATAATAAAAAACCTCCCATTTTAACTGTTGTTCGGCATGCATTATGAGTTTGGTTTTGACAATATTCACGCGTTTTTATGCATTTGTCTTCATTATTATCTTGATCTTTACATACATAACATTGAGTGGTGCTTGATATTATTTCTAAATTAAAATTTAAAATAATATAAAAAGCATTGCCTATGTTTAAATAAATAATATAAAAATTTTATATATAAGAACATTACCTATGTTTAAATAAATAATATAAAATATTGAAATGATTTTAGCCATATAAATGTCTTGAGTATATTTAACCATACCTGGTCAGATTTTTTATAATTTACCTATAAGGTGGTACCGCGTAATAAAGGGTTTCTACAATTTTTGTTTAAAATATTTAATTTAGATAAATAAAATCTCCGATTATATATTTTTAAGACATGAATCCTTGTTATTTTATTAATACCGATCTCATGCAATATTGGTACAATAAATAATATTATTATCTGGTAAATAATATAAAGATTATATAATATATATAAATAGAGAGAATTAATTTAATTTGATTTATAGGTTATTGTGAAATTGTATTTTAGCTTATGTTTAAACCTAATCTACTTTTCGTAAGTAATCTTGCAAATAATTTTATTTTACATTAAACTTAAGATATCATTGTTTACAAAAAGTAAATCAGATTTAGACATAACCTAAAAATATATTTACATTTTAAAAAACTGAAAAATAAATAGTTTTTTAAAGGTGAAATTGCTTTTAAAAAAATAATTAAGATCAATTTATGAGCCATTAATTTTAATATGTATAATACAAATTCACAGAAATGTAGAATGCAAAGTAACAAAAAATATCATGGGATATATGGTATATATGTAGTTGATATAGCATTCACAATATAAAATAATCTGAGTTTGTTTTTTTTCTTTTAAAAATACATGTTTATAATATACATAATAAAATGTGATGTGCTATAAAATTATTACAAAGATAAAAAAAAAATGTAATATGCAAAATAAATTTACACAAAAAAAACAATTTACAAAAAAGTCTTTCTCAAGTATGCACACTAAACGATATTCCCACCTCAAGGCATACCCAACAACACGGGCTGACCTTATCTGCAAAAATATTTTCCCTTCACATCATTGCATACCATGAAAATAATATAATAAATGCAAATAAAACTTTTATAAAATTTTATAATTTAAAAAAAATATATATATTAAATATAAAGATTTTATAATTTTTAAAAAAATATATTACATATCATCCAATACATTTTATAAATCCATACCAAATTTATATATAATATATCAAATGCAGACTTAAATCAAAATAACTATCCACATATAACATTATAGATATTATTCTGACTTCATCATACCTCAATTCCTTTAATTTATCATTCATAATTAAATATATCATATGTGTCATTCACATTACACCATAGTTCATAAAAATGGTTAATTACTCTAAAATAAACAACATTAACTCACCCTAAATAGATCCCTTTCAACCTTAATTGAAACTGAATTACATATACAATATAGTAACATTAATTAATAATAAACTATCCCACACATGTACATCACTTTAAAAACCCCAAATGCATAATTATATAACAAATACTTTATTACACAAATCCACTTCTATATATATTTTCATAAATTCCTAATATTTAAATATTTAGCAATCCTTTCTGTTCTGCATATCTTGAGGTCTAATTTTCCTATGATGGAATACCTATAACACCATTCAATGAGTCTTAAGGCCTACCAAATAATAAGATCATACCTACTGTCAAAATTGGATGTACAATATACATCTAAACATATATAACCAATATTATTGTCTTAAATTCCTGATTATATTTTTATATTCCGGCCTAATACTCATTACATACTTTCTATCTTGGGCTTTGTAAGCTAAACATTTAAATAAACTTATAGAATCCCTTAAACTCACCCCTTAATCTCACTTACCCCTGTGTAGTGTTAATACTTATGCGTTGTCAAAATTTATCATATAATATATACAAAAATTTTGTTTTACCTTTAAAACCGAATCACTCCAAATCTTCCGATCCTGGTCACCGCACTAATATAAAAGAATGCCCCTTACTCTCAATACTTCCCTTTAAAAATATAACTTATCAATCCAAAACAATTCTTTTTAGAAAAAGTCCAAGTTCCAATATATTAAAAGTCTAATTTATTCATACTAATATCTAAATCTAATTATTCATACAAATATCTAAGTATCATAAACGATAATCATTAAATTGATAAATCTTCCCGATCAATCCCGTCTTCATTCAATATAATGTCTTCTTCACTCCAAACCGCACACAAAGAAACCTTTATTGTTCTTTACCAAAAACCCATGTGATGATTTCGTTTCACTCCCATCCACAAGGAAACATTAATCCCCCCTGTCAACTGACATTTGATATATTATATTAAATTCATTTCTTCTTTTTTTCAACGGCTACAACAATAAGAATCTTCATGATCGACATTTTCCAATTATTAAGAAAAGTAATCATTTCTTAAATCATAAAATAGAAAATAAGACTTTCTTAATCTTCAAAGTATAGAATCAAAAATTGTGATTGTTTTGTTAAATTTTTATTATTTATTTTCAAATCACGCAGAAGCAATCATTAACAATTGAAACTTCTCTTTGTATTTTTTTTAAACGAATCTGCTTTTCCAAATGACATTGGCTGGCCAATTATGACATATACTTCCCTTTAATAAACCGGTATCGTAACCAGGGGTGGACTGGCGATTCTCTGGGTCGTGGGCAAGTGTTTTCTAGTGGCCTCATATTCTTGGGGCTTCATTCCCATTAGCGGGCCTTCGGTCCGCTTTTATCCGACTTTTGGTTGGAATCGTTTTAATGACGTATTCATATTCCACCTGTTTTTATTATTACTTATATATAAAAATTCCTAAAACGATGAGTTATACAAAATATTACAGTTCTCACATTTTTATTATAAAATAGGACATATGAAATGATAATCCCGTATTTATTCTAGGAATTACACATATCAAATTTTAGTAATTGAACATATAAAAACATACTAATCCTAATTGTTAATAAAATATATATTTCACATATAAAATAATATTAATGTCATACAGTCAAAACCTGAAAATTGCGAAACGTTGGGACTGAAAAAATTAATATTTTCGCACTTATCCGATTTTTCACAATTAAAAGATTGAATTTTAATTATTTAGTATAAAAAACAATTTTGTGTTGCTAATAGTAATATATAATATTCAAAGTATATAAATTTGTTGTATATATACGATTATTATTATTAAGATAATAGTTAAGGAATATTAATTATTAAGTTATTTTTTAAAATGACAAAATAATATTTTATAATACGACCAACTGTCAGAAATCATCTATAAAAATAAAGTCTGAGATATTAAATGCTTCTCACTTTCTAATAATGTGTATTTAACATAGCTACTCTAGGTATACCTCATTTCCATTAGATTAGATATTAAAAATATTTTTCAAAGTTTACACGAGGAGCACCCAGGTTACACGTACCTTGCGTTAATTTTCATAAAATATTTTAAAGATAAATACACATTCTAAAGTTAGATACAGAGGCAAATTAGTCCACATACAACAATATTACCTAAACAACAAATTTTGAAAATCATGATTCTCAGAAAAATATAATCAATATTTTAAATGATATCCCTCAACCAACAAGTCAAATCTTTAACAACTTCAGCAAACAAGGATATCATAAAAGAAATATACTTCTAGACATGGAGAATTTACAAAAAATATATTTAGCAGCATAGTTATTTTTCTTATATATGTATTTAATAATTTAATCACCTAGAATTTTTCAAATAAAACTTTTATTTTGTATATTAATTACATATTCATTCAAGTCATTATAATTTTTTGGACAGATATGTATATTTATTATGGGAAAATTTGTAATTTTTATAATAGCTACATTTATTTTATACACTTATAATATTTATACACAACAATTTATAAAAATATGAATTTACAATATGAAAATAAAAAGATGAATAATTTTTATAAAATTAATTAATTGATTTTAAATAATTTGTAATTAATGCCTGGGTTGAATCAGTCTATAATGACTTCTAGCCTTTGTGATTTTTGGTCCTTTAGGTTTGCATGTGCATACTGAATAAAGATTTGATATCCTTTCATAGCTTGACTTTTATTCAGGAATGTGAACCCGGACCCTGAACCCTCGTATTTTGGCTGAACCTGGACCCTTTTTAAAAGTGGAGGGTCCAAGGGTTCTAGGTGTCATAAAAATTTTTAAAATAAAAATATATTTTTAAAAAATAATTTAATTTTTTTTGTGGAATCATTTATTCTATCTTCGCTTTATTCTTTCAATTTTCTTCCTGGACTTCCATTTTATTTAAAGATTGATATCATAAATTATTTTCCAGTGTAATAATATTTTATTATGTAAATTTATTAAAATGCTATGTTTTATTTTGAAAGTGAATTATTTTGTAGTATAAGAAATAATATTTTAATTCAAATGATAATGCATAACATACTGGTCCCCAATTTGTATGATGCTAGAATGATTATTAAGTTTGAAAGATTTCTGTAATGATTTTATTATAGGAGTATGTGAAGTCATTTTGTCGGAAGATGCTTGATGCCAAGGACCTTACTAGTGTAATAGTTCCTTTAAAAATAACAATATTAAGATAACAATCAGAACAATTATGTTTATTAGATGCCGATTCAATTTAGGAAAATTTACCGTTCTTTTTATACCAAATATTTTAAAACATGAAAATTCGAGAGCAACAATATTTGTAAATAGTGTTGTATACGCTTCTATATATTTAGACCCTCGATATTAAGTTTTATTGAATATTAAACAAAAACAAATGGCTAAAGACCATCTTAAGAATTATAGCATAAGCAAAACTCCATTATTTACAATATATTGGAGGCTACGACAATACCTATTGGTTGTAGTGATAATAATAATAATGATAGCAACATTGATGATCTTGAAATTTTACTTTTAGATAGAGAAAAAAAAATCAAATTATCATCAGATAGAAAGGAGGATAAAAAAATGCCTATTGCATCTTTAATAGTAAAGTTCTCAGAAGTTAAGAGAATAAATAAGTATATAAATATTTTAAAATTATGGGAAGAAAATTCTTAAATATATCCAGAAATATATGTTATCTAGAATTTTCATGGCTGTACCGGAGACGCAAGTACAATAATTATAAAAGGATAACTATCGATTTTAGTAAGGGTAGAACGTGAATTTTTATCTTTGA